TTGGAAATTATCCTTATTATTTATTGTTTGTATTGCATTTGCACCTAGGAATGCCAGTCCTGGACCAGGACTCCACTGTGCTAGGCGCTGTACAAACACAGAACCAGCCGATGATTCCTGCCCCGGAGAATTGATCATGACTCAGTTCAAGCCTAAATCTTTTGAGTCCCTCCACACAAAGAAGGGGAAAAAATCAAACCAGGTGATATGAGAGCGGAGGCTTTTCTATTATCCCTCCTTCACACACACACACCCCTACTTCAGTTGTAATAATTAATGAAATGGCTAAGGAAATCTGATTACATGAAACCATCTCAAGGTTGCTTCTCATATTCAGAAGACAGTGGAAGCTGCATCTGTCCGTGAAAGATGCTATTTAAACCACCATTGAACAGAGGCACATACAGTACAACAGGTTTATGAAGAAGTTGATTTGTAGGTTAATTAAACAGTAATATTCTGTTGTAAAACACTTGAGACTCAATAAATACAGAGAAGATAAAATTCTAGCAGGGGTGGCTAGTGAACTGAATTAATCAAAAGGACAAGCAATAGCTGCATATCTTATTGATAGGAATTCATTAGATAGATAGATAGATAGATAGATAGATAGATAGATAGATAGATAGATAGATAGATAGATAGATAGATAGATCTGAAAATACAAAGTCTCATAGCAGTGCTAGGTTTTATCATTATTGTGTGCAGTGTTGTTATAGCCGTGTTGGTCCCAGGGCATTAGAGAGATGAGGTGGGTCAGGTAATATCTTTTATTGGAGCGACTTCTATTGGTGAGAGAGACAAACTTTCGAGCTTGCACAGAGCTCTTACAAGATATTAATAGAAGTTATTACCTCACCCACCTTGTCTCACAGGTATTATCATTGCTAACTTATCACAAACAAGACAAAGCAGCCTGATGTCTGATGGATGCTCTTTTGCAATCCATTGACTGATAGAGACCATACCCAACAATGGGAGATCCTAGGTACATATTGGAGAGAAGAAGAATTAGATAAGCTTGTAAACTGCCTATTCTTTTTGGATGTCATTTCTAGTTAATTACAGTCACTTGCGCTGGGTATTCTCTGCAATCATCGGGCGTATCCCTGGGCTCTGTTAGCCTGATGGACGCTTTCCAGTCACCAACTTTTCAGATGCAAATGACGTGCTCCTGTCAAGTGTCTTCATGCAAAGCAACCCCCAGTATCCTCCCTTTGCCAGTGACCAGAAAAAGAGCAAGAAGGGCTTGTTTTACAATCCACCTCCAGAATGCAACAAGATACTGCTCATGGCCCTCCAGGGAACAACTGCACTCACTCTCATGCCACCCGTCGGGCATTAAGGCCTTGATCCAAAGCCTGTACAAATTGGAACGATCATTGTTCCTGTATTTCTCCACTAGGGTCTTCACTGATAGTAAATGATGCCTATGGAAACAGCATCAGTTCATTGCCAGGACACTTCTGTGGTTGACTCATGTATCTGTGGTCAGAACTTCCCCTTAAACTCTATTTTCAGCTCCCCAAATACTTGGGGTTTTCCACTGGGCCGTTTATCTATTCAAAGTTCATAGGCCTCAAGCCTTACGCTAACTTGCTGAAGCTAATATCTTTCAGGACACAGGCCTGTAGGTTTCTTGCATTACTGCTGGATATAATGCAAAGCAGAATATAACGCAAAACAGTACATATAATAGAGGCAAGCTAGCCCCTGGGATACAGTAGCAGTGAATATTAACAATGGCAAACTAGCCCACTGGGCTACACTGGACAACACGTACATCACCACGTACTGGGTATATCACCACACAGGAGCACAGCAGTGAATAGCTTATGTGGGGCAATGGGGCCAGTGAGGGGCTTAAGTGCAGCCCACACAGTCTGAGGGGCCCATGGCTGCCCTTCTCTCTAGTATGAAGGTGCAGCCCCTTTAGGCTACTGTTCCCAGCTCCCATCATGCAGCATGGCTGGGCTGCTTGAATTTGTATTCAGCACTGTATGCTGGGATCTGTAGTCCCTGGGGGCCGCGCCTCCCTATTAAAGACAAGCATGGATGCAATCTCTTTATTCCCAGCAAATTAGATGGAAACTCGGGGCTGCTGACAAGTTGCCAATGGGTCCCTTCATTGGACACAGTTACAGAGCCCTAGCGTCAGGACTAAAAGTGGGGAAAGCCATCAGCAACCTCTTGCCTCCAACAGGCAAGTGTGGGAGAAAGCTCAGTGATTCAGCAGCATCTGAAGTCACTGGAGCTTAGTCTAGTTTTACACCAGTGTGACTAAGATCGGAGTCTGTCCCTGTGTTACCCATATAAATGTGACATACCAAGAGGTGCACATGCACTATGTAGGCTTGCAGTGCAACCAGCCAGGGCTTACAGTGAACCTGGAAACTCCATTCATGTAGCAAAGCAGAATAAGAGCAATACTCCCTGGCACTGCTGTTGTATCTTGAGTCCAAGAATCTCAAAGCACGTTAGGAACGTGAATGAGTTCAGCCCCACACCAGTCCTGTGACAGAATAGGCAGAAAGAAAGTCCTGAATTGTTTAGTTGTGCAATCAGCAATTCTGCTTATAGCAAAACTTAGAACGAAGTTCTGTGTGAAAAAAAATGACTCCTCTACAGGAGGGTTTCACTGTATATGAAAAGTTCTGCACAGTGTATGGACTGTCCTCTGCCTATATCTGAGCAACCCTTCTGCCTTCTGTTGACCTCAGTGGGGTTATATCTGTGTAACCCAAGGTGAAATCCATCTCTTTTCCCACCACATGGAACAGGGACAATATATACCAAGGGTAGGCAACCTATGGCACGCGTGCCGAAGGCGGCACATGAGCTGATTTTCAGTGGCACTCTCACTGCCCGGGTCCTGGCCACCGGACCGGGGGGGCTCTGCATTTTAATTTAATTTTAAATGAAGCTTCCTAAATATTTTAAAAACCTTATTTAATCTACATACAACAATAGTTTAGTTATATATTATAGACTTCTAGAAAGAGACCTTCTAAAAACGTTAAACTGTATTACCGGCACGCAAAACCTTAAATTAGAGTGAATAAATGAAGACTCGGCACACCACTTCTGAAAGGTTGCCGACCCCTGATATATACAAACTCCCATGCTAGAATCCAATTTAAAATCCACTTACCAAACGACCCGACTCAACCACAGTTTTAATCCCCATCTTCCATAAAATCTCCCTCTAATCTGATAAAACACCAGGGGGCAGGTACTCTTCCGAATGGGCACCTACAATCCCCATCAACATTCAGAGTAATTATGAACAGCTATTAAGAGGAGGTCTGGATTGGGGCATGTGTGAGTGCTTGAGTCATTTATCGATCTATGGAGCATGTGCAGCATGCTCATCACCCTTGTCTCCTCCAAAGAGTTTCAGCCCAGATTTGAGTTCTGGAGAAGACTGAACAGGGGAGTCTTATTTTAGCGTAACTTTTTGCCCAGCAGCACCCAATCCTGGCCCATTCTCTGAGCCGCGTGTCCTGTGTTTGAATGCATTTGATGATTCTATTCCACCTGCACTTGTTTACACCTTCCAACCCAGCCCCAAGCGCACTGTTACAAAATGAGATTCCATCAAATGGGGTGATTCCCCTGAGCCAGGTTCTAAGGAGAGGAACATGTATGGGTTAGAATGAAGGTGACCATCCCCCTGTCTCTCCAAGGGGGCAATTCAATGCCAGGTGAAGTCAATGGGAATCTTTCTGTGGTCTCCTGCAGGTATTGAACTGGCCTCCAAAAAGGGTAGTACAGGAAGTCCCTGGATTGAATGGACATGAAGAACAAATTCCTCTTGCATCCAGGAAGAGAGAAGCCCTTCTGAGGTAAGGTTTAAGACTGCAGTAATGCCCGTGGGAATCCCCAAATTGAACTGGGCTGGAGACTGGAATCCCCTCTACCCAAAAACACACACTGCAGGCAGCCACTCCCACTCAGACGGGGACCAGCATCCACTGGGGAAGTTGTACACCCAGGGACGACTAACATGCCCAAACTGTAGTTCAAAGGAGAGCATTAGTCTCCAGTGCTCCCATTTCCCACACCTCTAAGTCAAACTCAGCATTAAAGTAAAGAACAGAGCAGGGAGTTCCCCCTGTTGAATCTGAGCTTTTGACACCTTCCTGCATGGTTCATGATAAGCTTCCATAAATGCCTGTAATGATCTGAGTGTTAGGAACACTGAGGCAAAGGTCTAAGGAGCAAAAGTGGTGTTTCTACTCCACATTAGAAAGCAGCATCGTTGCAACGGAGTCCCAGCCTCAGTAACTGAACAGAGCAGAGTGCAGCCATCCTGCCCAGAGAGATCTGGGCTCAACATTTATTGAAAAAAGGAACCAAGGATCTTCTAACTGTCCAACAATCTGCCCTAGCGAGTACACCCAGATGCTCAGCTGGTGTAAATCAGCATCTCTGTCTCCAATGAAATCAATAGACTGATGCAGATTTACACCAGCTGAGGATCTGGCCCTTTAAGGATTTCTGCCTAAAAACACGCATACATTGCACATATTCGCCTCCAAAAACTTTGCTAGACAGAGCCCCTCTCCTTCAGCTGAGACACACATAAACTCTCCAAGCCAAGAGGAAAAACCAGCAGGTTCAGGTACATATTACAATACGGTCATGTTTAGCTATTTTAACTATGTGCTTCTGGAAAAGCCATCAGTAAGCTCAGCTCTGCCTTGCTGATATTGTTATTTGGGGTTTATTTATTTTCCCTGCTTCCAAGATGTTCTGTCTGCTTAAGAGCCCTATTAATGAATAGGTTCAACTGATTTACATATACGTGTGCACAAATATGCCACAACGGAACAATATTCTTCTCACCATGGAGCAGACACATTTCTCTCTGTGAAAGAAACAGCCCATAGAGTTTGGAATTAGCCAAATCAAATTGCCATGGTGGAAGATCAATGGACTGAGCTCCATGGAACAAAGAATCCTGCCTCTCTGCCTTTGCTAGGCAGGTACAGACTTACCTTATGAGGTTCTGTAAGCCTTGTTTGCTGGAATTCCTCCTCAGGATCGCACTGGTCATTGTGGGAGAGGTTGATCTCAGGGCAGGCTCACAGATCCTGGCTGCTAAACCTCCTTTTCCTACTTTTTTTTTCTTTTCCTTTTTTTAAAAAAAATAAATAATCCTCTCCCTCTCTTCAGGAAGTTCTGCAGCTGGTTTCCTTTTGTTTCTCTAAGCCCCTCTGTTCAGCCCCCCTCTTGTCTCCTCCACCTCTACCTCCTCCACAGCCTAGTGGAAATGTCAGAGAAAAATCTTTCGGAGAGCAGCTTTGTAGTTCGAGGCAAAGCAGGGTCCCCTCCCTGCTCCCATCTGACCGCTGAGTGAGCTCAATGCAAAGCTTAAACCTCTCCTTTGCTCTAAAGGCTATTCTTCTTCTATTTGGCTATCTGTTTCTCTCTCTCCTCTCTTACACTCCTTCTGGTTTATGCTTCTTTGTTTCTCATCTTTTTCTCTCCTTCTGTTCCCCCTCCCCCACTCCTCCTTTTTCTCTTTTTCTTCCCTTTCCAATCTCTTTCTTTCTGCATTAACTAATTGCATAAATTAGGAACAAAAGCCACTCAGGGACACAAAACCTGATTAGAGGAAAGACAGCAGAGGACAGATTTACAACTCTGGAGCCAGATCTTGAGCTCACGTAAATCAGCAGCAAGCCATTAAAATCAATGGCGCTACTCCAGTGTGCACCAGCTGAGAATCTGACCCATAGCCTCCATAGTCTAAATCTACTCTTAAAAATTAATTGCAAGTCTCAGCAACTTGCAAAGGGGTTGCAACACTTTGTGGTTAAAAATGCTGTATCAAAGAATGAAGTGCAATGTAATCCTGCTTGCATCAGGCTGATTCAGACTACTGCATCCGAGGAGGCAGTGCAGGACTAGTGGACAGAGCACTGGCCTGGGATTCAGGACAGCTAGGTTCTGTTCCCAGCCCTACCTCTGACTTGCTGGGTGAGCTTGGGTCAATCACTTCCGCTCTCTGTACTTCAGTTTCTCCATCCATGAAATGGGGGTGATGAGACTGGCCTCCTTCATAAAGTGCTTTGCAATCTACTGAAAAGTGCTCAATAAGAGTTAGGTGTCATTATTATCATGTCAACTGGGTGGTCTTGGATAGCGCTCTGGACTATGCCTCGGAATACGACATTCATTCTACTTCTGGCTCTGCCCCATCCCGCTGAGTGATGTTGGACAAGTTACTGTGCCTCTGTTTCCCCTCCCACCCTGAGTCTGTCTTGTCCGTTTAGATTGTAAACTCAGTGGGGCAGGGAGTTTGTGTACAGTCCTTTAGTCGGGGGTATTGATGTGCCACTGTATTACAAAGAAGAAGAGAGGACTCTGTGGGAGCATAGGGTTAGCAGCCAATAACTACTGAGATCTAATCCCATCTTTGCTATTCATTTGTTGGGTGATAGTGGGCAGGTCAAGTAACCTCTCTGCCTCAGTTTCCCCATCTGTGGAAAGGGAATCTCAACCCTGACCTCTCTAAAAGGTGTATTGTGAGAATTATAAAGTGTCCTTATTATCAGGACCAACATGTTTTGAGATTTTTACTTGCCACTCTCCCTGTATCTCATAAAATGTGCATATGTTTTCTTTGGATGAGTAATGCTGGACTATTTACGGTAGCTTGGTTGTTTGAAATGTAGATGGCTGATAACTGCCCACATAATAAATGAAGAAATATCAGTAAAGAGAAACCGCATTGAAATAAGTACAGACGGGTATTAAATGTAAAAAAAAAACAAAAAAAAACCACACTTTAAAAATGGGTTTCTTTGTTAATTGTTTATGTATTTACCAAACAGCCCATAAATGATGAGAAATAATAAAAGCAGCTAAGCACAGTGGTTGTTCTTGCACTGGGATCATGGATGGACTATGTGCTGGAGTATATTTATTTTACATCTCTACATTCTGTGAGGCTAGGTGGAACTAGGAGAGCAATCAGCAAAGGTCGCAAATATTCAAAAAGATAAAGGCCCAGCCCCTGCAAGCATGTATATGTGTGTTTGGCTTTAAGCAGACTCACTCCCACTGACTTCATTGGGACTGCTCACATGCTTAAAGTTAAGCACACATCCAGGCATTTGCAGGATCAAAGCCTATGGTCACCATGAAGTCACTGGCCAAATGCCCAATGGCTTTCTGCAAGATTGAGGAGTGATGAGAGGGCCTGATCCTTCAAACTTTCATTGATTTCAATGAGGCAGGATCCAACTCTTAACATGGGGCCGACCACCCAGATGGTACCATTCTAGGGTTTTTATAAGGGGCTGGTGGTGAATGCGGGCAGAGACAAAGGGGCGATGAAGCTAACAGCGATGGCATTGCCAGAACAACTGCTGCTGAATGAAATCACAGCTCTTATTATAGCCAGAGATGCCACACAATCCGTAGCAAACTCAGGAGGGGCAGAGAGGAATGTGAAAGACTTGGGTTTGATAACTCTGGGGAGGCTGGGAGCACATGCTTGCCAAGGGAGGGGAGGTGGGCTCACCGGGAGGCATATGAGGCCAGATCCTCACTTGGTGTAAACTGGCACAGAGACATTTGCTTCAGTGGAGCTACGCTGGTTTACACCAGCTGAGGACCGAGTCCAGAGACAATTGTCTTGCCCACATCTCTCCACTCAATAAACACCAGTGCCTGGTGGCAAAGAAGCCAAAGAAACAGCCCACTATTAAATATGCAAGAGTTTTCAAACCAAAACTGTTAGCCTAGAGGAGGAGGTAGAGTCCAGCAGCGCTAAAATCCTGCACCATAGTCAGTTCTGCCTAGAAGCTAGACGTGGGTGCCCTTCTATAAACAACCCCCTTCCCTGCAAGGGCTCATGTCCTCAGGCACTGCAGAAGCCAAATGCAGTGGATGATGTGGGTGTTTGCTTGCTGTATGGCAGATGGATTTCCTGAGCCAGCAGGGCATCTAGGATCAAGGAGAAGTCCATCGGATTAGCTGTCTTAAGGGAAGTGGGGCGGGGGTGAAAGGTGGCAGGGGAGATAAGATCTTTGGAATGAACTGAGGAGGGTGACTCAAAGTAACTGGAGGGTGGGGGCAGAATACACCATGATATGCAAAGGGTTGGGGGGGGGGGTTACACTTCCCATTGCATTATACAGGGTAAGGGAATTCCCAGGTACCACTCCCTGACTGCAAATTCTCCAGGCTGGTGTGATGTGTTTGTGATGCTCCTCCTATAGTGAAGATTAATCAACATCCCTTCCCTTTCATCTCTGTCAGAGAATGCAGGGAGATCGTGTGGGAGGAACACAGATGTCCAGCACTGGGAGGGTCACACAGGACCCCATGGACGAGGGCCACGGGAGTGCTTCTGTTTAAATGCCTGCATCTCCCAGACCCGTCTCTCCAGTGTGCAAAAGGAAAATGCTAGTGATTGCACTTGGGGACGATCCATTCCCCTTGACTTAATTCAACTGGGGACACTGCAACTTTATTTTAAAAATTAAAAAAAAAAATCACTAAAGTTATGAGCAAGGGGGATCCCTACCTTACCCCCTCATAGCTCGAGATGGTTTGACCCACCAAAGGCAACTGGGGCTGAGGGCTTCTCCTGCACAATCTGTGTAGGATCGGAGATCTCCCCCCCGCACACCACTGCCCAAGGTGGAGCATAGCTGCTTCAACGTGATTTATACTTCCATTCAAGGCAGCTGGAGGTTAGCATTAGCCATGGTCCCATCTGCCCAGCTCCTACAGCACTGCCCACATAAACCTCAGGGTGCCATTCTAGAAACAGCAGTGATGCTGCAGTAAGAAAACGACACCAACCAAAAAAAAGACGATTAATTTTCCTGCTGGAGTTTAACAAAAAATCCATCAAAGAAATCTCTGCAGGGGTGTGGTGCATTTAGCACAAGACAAGACAGGGGCAATAACACAAGGCAGTTTGCTAGTGCATAGCATGTGTCCTCTAAGCCAGAGGCTCATAAAGAACTTTCCAGCAACAGACAAAAAGGGAAGGCTTTAAAGGTGAGTGGGATGGGGGGAAGTGACTCAGTTCTGTTGCCCTGGGATGCAGGGAGGGAGTTCCAGAGAGATAGGGCTGCACCAGTTCTCATTAATGACACAATCGCTCTGCTATGTAGCACGGGTTGCAAAATCATTTTGGAGGCTAAAGTATGTCTAGGAAAAAACATGACTGCAGCAAAGAAATGCAACCAGAGTGATTTGCTCTAGAACTGTTGCAATCAAAGGTCCCAGTCAGGGCCAGTGTTGGGCATGACCATGTAATTTGGCTACTCTAGGATCCCAATCTTTTAGGGGCACCTCCAGCCCAGCTGCCCTGCCCTGCTGTGCACCAACACAGTTTCTGGAGATCTGTTGCTTTAAGTACACCCCACACACTACTGTCTGAGAGGGCTGACACCTCCCTGGGCAGATTCTGGCTGCGTGAGCCCCACAGCACAGCTTTCAGCAGGGGAGGCTGCCCCTTTAAGTGTGCTCCCTCTGCATCCTTAGCCAGGAGCCACTCCCCCAATACAGCTCCAGCCAGGACAGTAAAATGTCTAGTGCCAGCCCAGGGCCCAGTCCTTGAAGATACTGAGCACCCTCAACTCCCAGAGATGGGAGTACAGGGTGCTCAGCACCTGACAGGATCAGGCCCAGCATTTGTGGAACGTGCCTGTTCCCAGTGATGGGATGCCAAACCCGCTGAGATCATCGGCCCTCTGCCTCGCCTTTCCACTGACTTCAACAGGCCTTGGATCAGGCCCCAGCACTGTACAGCCTGGGAGTGACCTGGGTTTTTAAGCATGAGTGGAATTATTGATGGAGCAGCACGGCCTGCTTCAGAATGACTAGAAAACATGGGGATGAATTGAAAGGCACTTCATTTAGATGGAGGGACAGGAAGCCACCTTTCTGTTCCCCACAGTCTGAGACAGCTGGCCCTGCCCAAGCCCTGGTTTCACTTAGAGCAGTCTCGAGGCTGCTCTAGCATGTTTTCTACTTCTCACGGCCCCTTGCAAGAGCACAAAATGCCCATTGTTCGGTGCTCTCAGCTACACCCCTTTTCTGTCCCTCCAGGAGGGGGGAGTGGGGCCAGGATAGGGCTGTTCTACTCCAGCAGAGGTTCCCCTTTACACAGACCATATTTCATGTCCTTTAAGCCCCCCCCCCTTACACCACAAGAGAAGCATAAAGGAGCTTGGGTGCTTTGGAGAATCGGGCCCTAGAACTGTAAAGCTTTCAGAGTAGCCCATTTGCTGTGTTCCCTCAGGTCCCGTGGAAGACGCGTCCTGGGCATATTTTTTCCTCCCCGTGTCTCCTTTTTAGAAGCTCTTCACGCTTGTCTCCCCTCTTCGCTGACTACACTGAGTCCATTTCCCACAGGAACTCTGGATAAAGAAATTGCACCTAACTGCATCTTCAGCGAG